ATCGAACGGAGCATCAGCAAGTGGGTTGACGAACACAACTCTTGGATGCAGAAAATTGATGCTAGAATGATCCTGGGCAAGAACTTGACCCCGACCATGCAAAAGGGCTTTGACAAGTGGAACCGGGAGCGTGCATCGTGCAACATGCTGTTCTCCAGAAAAAAGCAAGCGCAGGTCCATTCCATCCGCAGCAACATGGAGCTCTCTAAGATGGAACGGGAGCTCTTCTCAGTGCATGTGGCATTTTCCATGGAGCCTCACGAACTGCAGCTGAAGGCGTCCAACGGAGACGCACGAAGGCTGATTCTGATAAAAGGAGCTCCTTCCGAAAATGGCTGTGTACCGGTCTTTTTGGATCAGAAGCCCCATGAAGCAGATCTCCGCCAAGCGATGGAGGTTGAACAGCTGGAGGGCTCTGAGGATGAGGCTGACATTGAGGACCAAGCTGACGTACAGGGTGTGGATGGTTTCCAGGATGAGCAGGACGCCTTGCTGGAAATGGACCGTTTCCAGGAGGAAGACACAGGTGTAGAAGTGCTGGCTGACACCAGTGATGAGGACATGGTCAAAGAGACAGTGACCACCATGCACACCAGAGTCAAGTCATTCTTCCACCGTGAAGCATTCAAGAAACTGTCAGATCGCGGACTCACGGAGCTCCCGTGCATGCCAGGAGTTCTGATTTCTTACCATAGTACATCCCGATCATGGCAGGGATACTTTCCAGGTTGTCACGAAGGGCTCAGCATGACTTGGGGAGGAAGAACACTTCGGAGTGAATCTGAAGCCCTCATTCGTGTGATCAAGAAGATTTTGCAATGCTACGTTGACAAGTTTCCAAAGGACAAACTTTGGAACAAACAGCTTGAGAAAGTGAAGCTAGCAGAAGCTAGCGTTGGCAGCTTTTGAATGCGGAATTGCACGTGGCGGGCGGCATTCTATGTGTACAGTCCATTCACAAATGCCTGGTGTTGACACATCTGGGAGGACACCATACGTTCAGACCATTTTACCATGGAGGTTAGAAGCCTAGCCCCCCCATTATATATATATAGTCCTTGCCTTATCATTGCACTTTTTTGGAGATGTTCAGTTTCAAAGGTCCAAACTTGTTTTGCTGAATCTCCAAGATGGGACAAAACAGTCATGGAAACATCTCAAACCATGGTGTCATTCACAGAACCTTCTGAAT